CTACTAACAACTAAGTTTTCCCGTTTCTACTTCTACAGCTGTCCGAGTGGCTCGAATCCAAAGAATGCTTCGAGCCCTCAAGCGCCACCTACGCCTCCCGAGTGGACCTAATCGCCAAAGTTCGAGGACTCTACAAAGCCGAAGACTACATCAACCAGATTCCCGAATCCTTCAAAAACGAGCAGGTCTATCGAACCCTACTCGCTAACGCTGTCTCGGTCAACCACGTGAGGAAAGCCGAGGCCACATTCAACAAGATCAAAACTTTAGGCCTTCCCATCTCGTGCTTCACCTGCAATCAGCTCCTCCTTCTCTACAAACACATCGACAGGAAGAAAGTAGCCGATATCCTTCAACTAATGGAGAAAGAAAACATAAAGCACTCTACCTTCACTTATCAGATCCTAATCGACATGAAGGGCCAATTGCACGATATTCCTGCCATGGAGCAGATTTTAGCCCAGATGAAATCTGATGGGCTCGAGCCCAATACCCAGATACAGGCCATCATGGCCCGCCACTACGCAGCCCAAGGGCTCAAAGACAAAGCCGAAGCCGTTTTGAAAGAGATTGAAGGCGAAGAAGGGTTGGATAAAAACCGATGGGCCTGCCGTTGGCTTATGCCCATCTACGCCTCTCTCGGCCGAGAAGACGAAGTCGAGCGGATATGGAGAGTCTGCGAAAAGGACGACAACCCGCGCATGCTCGAGTGCTTGACAGCTGTCGAGGCTTGGGGACAGCTGTCGAGGGTCGACAAATCTGAGGAGGCTTTCGAGAAGCTCTGTGAAAAAGTGAATAAGCCGAGCTCGAAGCACTATGCGGCACTTCTCCGAGTTTACGCGAACAACAAAATGCTCGATAAAGGAAAAGATCTCGTGAGGCGAATGGGGGAGAACGGATGCCAGCTGGGCCCCAGTACTTGGGATTCGATCGTGAGGCTGTATCTTGGAGCTGGCGAGGTGGAGAAGGCTGACTATGTTTTGACTAAGGCCGTGGAGCAGAAAAAAGGGAAGCCTTATTTTGTGACTTTTTTGGCGATAATGGGAGGTTATGCGGGGCGTGGTGATGTTCACAACGCGGAGAAGGTTTTGATGATGATGAAGCGTGCGGGTTACACGTCGAAGATGAAGCCTTACCAGATTCTTTTGGAGGCGTACGTGAAAGCGGGGAAAACGGCTTATGGGATGAACGAGAGGTTGAAGGCAGAAGGGATTTACGTGAACGGGAAGATGGCGGGACAGCTGGCGAAGGTGGACCCGTTTAGGAAGACGAACGTGTCGGAATTGATCGAGTGAGGACAGGTTCGGATGGTTTTATGGTTTTTTCTTTTTTTTGGTGTTTATATATGGATGAGACCTTCAGATTTGAGAATGGGATGGAACTTGGAAGTTTTTCTTTATCGCTGTGTTTGCTTTAAAGTGTGGATGGTTTGGTGGTGAATTCTCTCTGGTAGTATGGTGACCTTTTGTGGATCAAGTTATTCCATTTGGGAATTTCAGTTTAGCATTGATTATTGTATGGCAAAAATGCATTTTTACTGTTTTAGTTATATTGTTGGTTTAATGTATAGCAATTTTAGTCCTAAATTCTCAATTTTTTGTCTTTTGGTATTTTGATTTAATAATATATTACCGTAATTTTATTTAGTTCTCAAAGGAATGAAATTACAAAAAAAAAAGAAAAAAAAAATTAAATTACAAGACTGAAATTGCAATAAAAATTTAAATTACAGGACTTAAGTTGCTAAATGAAAATTTAGAAATTTTGAAATTTGTTGCAATTTCAGTCCTCAAATGATCGAAATTGAACTAAAATATTAAATTACATGACTAAAAAATGAAATATTGGAACCTTGAGACTAAAATTGTTATGACATTAAATCAGAAGGACTAACAAATGTTTTTTGCTATAAAAATGTATTTTTGCTTTATTGTTTAATATGATCGAGCTAAAGTGGTGGTTATTAATTTAATCATTGTGTGTGGTAAAACATATTTGATTATATGAAATTTAGAATGATTTTTACCAGCCACAGCATTAAAAATGGCTTGGATAAGACTAGACACATAGACTTGCAATATTTCTTATAACAGTTTAGAATGGCCGTAAATGATTCGTTGGCCGAGGTTGAAATGAAATTTGTGTAACAATTTATAGCAAAAGATCTGTTTTTAAAACCTTTTTGTGGCTGCATGATCTGAACGATGAGAGGATAACATCCATATCTGTGCTTTGGTTCTGTTTTAACTGCCACAAGCNCGTGACAAATTTTTAAGAGGCAACTAAGTAATTGTACAAATGCTGAGGCAAAATGCATAAATCATTTGCTAGCATAAGCTAAAACATATGACAAAATCAAATCTCGAGGCAAGTTCATGTTACAAAACACTTGTGTAGCTAATTTCCAGTGAATTAAAGAACAACCATTGTCACGAATAAGCAGATTTTAACAATTTGGTAATTAGCACCTCATTTCTCTAGTCAACACAAATGCATTCAAATTTCTTCTTAACTAAATTTGCCATCTGCACAATTTAGATATATGCCACATGCAAATATAAAAAGTTCAAAAAAAGGTTACGAAAAAACGAGCTACTTTTTCTGATACATTGTGTGCTCAGTCACTACAAAATCCACCGAGCTTTTATAACCCTTCATCGAGTAAAGGATTTCAAATATCGAGCTGATCGAACTTGACGAGACTTCCAGAGTTCTGAATGAGTTCCTTTCTGGTATCAACCTGAAACCATAAAACAAATAAAAATAATAATAAAATGAAAAGCCTCAAAAAAGAAAAAGGGCATATTTGGCATTATGATTTGCTGTGAGACCCTCGAAAAATTTACACAAGCCTCGAAAAGAACATGTTTTACGTACTCGGGATCCCATGAGAGAAGAAAAGACAATATTAGCCTCCGCCACATCATCAACCCTTAATTGCTTCAGCAATCTCGTTTCTGGATTTAAGGTCGTTTCCCAAAGCTGTGCAGGCATCATTTCCCCCAAGCCTGCAATTTTATTTTTTTTTCCAATTAAATTGTCAATCGGACGAGTAAAATAGCTTTTTTTTTTTCTTTCCACTGCAACGAAGGGTATATATGGAATTTTAAATTTATCAGCCACTCGTATCTTTTTTTCCCAACGAAAACTCACCTTTAAACCTCTGAATGGTATATGAACTCGGAGAATTTTTACGTATAAGGTCATTAAGGTCTTTTTCGTCATAGCAGTAATATGCTTTCTTGTGCGACTCAACCTGAATTATCAAATTGTAGGTTATTAAATCGAAACTCCGTTTAAAAAAAAAAAATGGAAATAGTCTCGGCACCTTATATAGAGGTGGGACCCCAACATAGATACAGCTTTCATCGAACAAAGCTCTCTGCAGATAATTTGTGTAAAATATAGCCATCAAAATCCAACAAAATAAAAAATAAAATTATAACAAATGTTTACGCAAAAATGTCACCTGATAGCGAAAGAAAAATGTCAACAACAATGTTCGTATGTGAGCACCATCAACATCTGCATCGGTTAATATTATGATTTTGTGGTAACGAAGGGAATCCTTTTTAAAATCTTCACCCTGAAAATAAATATTACTTTTTAAGCAGAAAATTTGAAGGAATCATTAATAAAAAAATGAAAAATTTAAATAACATATATTTATGGAAAAGAAAAATAATATTGAATGAGCTACACCTTCACTCCAAGTCCTAGACCAAGAATAAGATTTTGAATTTCTTGGTTTTTGTACATAGCAGCTTCATCTTTTCTCTCGATGTTCAGAATTTTACCCCTTAAAGGAAGCACAGCCTGTATAATGACAACAGAATTTTGTTTCGAAAAACCTCACGGTTAATGTTTTCAAATTAAATCATACATAATTTAGATTTTCGAACGTAAATCTTCACCTGAAACCGGCGATCACGGCCTTGTTTGGCACTCCCACCGGCCGAATCTCCCTCAACTATGAATATCTCTAAAATATTTTGGAAATGAACAAATAAGTATAACTTTACTTATAGGATCCAGCAAAAATAATAAATAAACAAATAATTAAATAAATAAAATAATAGTAATACCAGATTCTTCAGGATTCGTAGACGAGCAATCAGCAAGCTTTCCAGGAAGGGAAGATGATTTCAAAACACTCTTTTGTCTCACTAATTCTCTCGCCCTCTTTGCCGCTAGTGCTGCCTAAACAATCCAATATTAAATCATGAGAATTAAAAAAGAAAACAATATATTAAAACAGATGTTTCAAGAACGTTTGAAATCATCCAAGTGAGCCAATTAAATGTACAGGTTGTGTTTGGTAAGCATATTAGCTTATATCTTATTTAGTTAGCTTATAAGCTTCATGTATTCAAATAAACTTAGTTTGGTAAGACGAGCTTTTTTAAAAAGCTCGAGCTTTTCTCATAAGCTTCCTTGGGTAACTTTTCAAATAAGCCCATTGAATTTTTTGTATTAGCTAGTTTTACGAAACACGTTATCATATAAGCTAGCTTTTCAACCATAAGTCATAAGCTATCAGCTATAAGCTCGAAATTCACTTTAAAGCTATATGAAGAATATACCTTGAGAGCATTGAGGGACTTTGAAAGAATCGAATCAAGAACTTCCGGATGCAACTCCAGGTACTCAGTAAGATATTCTTGGATAGATTGATCGACAACCTTCCTAACCTCTGGATTTCCTAATCTCGTCTAAGGAAAAATGAATTTCAATCAAATGAGGTCATTGTTTTCAAACGAGAAAATTAGTTAGTTCTATAAAGATTCCTTTTTTTTTTTCGTCTCAAGGAAAATGCTTTACACAGTATATACCTTTGTCTGTCCTTCAAACTCTGGGTTCGGAACTTTAACAGAGATGACACAAGTCAACCCCTCTCTCACGTGCTCGCCACTTAAACTAATATCCTTCTCCTGGGAAAGAAATAACTTTTAGGGTGAAGATATTGACAAACATAACAGATTAAAAAAAAAAAAATCGATATTCAATACCTTCATGAATTTGGACTTTTTTCCTAGGTTGTTGAGCGTTCTAGTTAACGATGCTTTCACCCCGTCAATGTGAGTGCCACCATCTACAGTTCTAATGCTGTTGGCATATCCTAATAATGTATCTGAATATGCATCTTCACACCTGTATAAAGATTGACATTCCAAATTAATTCATAAGATTGAAACAAGGGGAAAAAAGAAAAGAAAAGAAAAGAAAATGACAAATTCAGATTCTTACCATTGAAGTGCTACATCAATTGAGATTCCATCGGCTTCTTTTCTAAAACCCACGACATCATGAAGAGGTTTCTGGACCAAGAATTTATGAAGTTATGAGAATATTTCGAAATACACGTGGCAAAATCACTTAAAAGCTATGTGGTTGTGAGAACAAATGGAACTACAAAGTACAATGACTCAGAAAACTAGAAGGCTTTAATCAGCAATGGGAGCATAAAACCGAACTGCAGAACAAGGGTCCATCACAAACAACAGTACTGCACGGTTTTTTTTTTTTTCTATCAAACAACTGGTTTTTAGTCACTAATTCACACACAGTGGCAAAAGCAAGCTAAACAACCCAACCCTTTAATGCCCTACTAAGGAAGAGAGTAATCGCACTAAAATCTTAGTGAATGAAAGAGCAATTTTATCATAATATGCACTTAGGGTTCAATGTCATACCAAGGGCAGAAAGGTACAATAAGTATCACCAAAAAAGTTGATAAATATAGTAGAATTTCAAAATAAGTTGGCTGGTTGAACTACAAAAGAACAAGCAACAGAAACATAAAGCATATACCTTATCTTCATTAAGCCACTTCACATATTCCACTAATCCTCCAGCATAGCTGTACTCATTATACAGCTTCTTCTCTGGGTCTATGTTCTCCTTTTCAATTCCAATTGTGACCTATACATGAGAAGAAAATCTCTCATCTTTTTATTAGTGCTAGAACCAAAAAATGAGGAGATATATATTCTAGATTTCTAATACGACTATCACCAGAAAATTAATGTACCTCAGGATTAAGGAAAGCAAGCTCCCTGATTCTTCCAGAAATTGTGTTGTAGTCATATTCAATAGCAGTTTCAAATACTGAGGCACATTCCGAAAGGAGTCCAATCCATCAGCAGTAGTTTTACTAAAAAGAAAAATGAAAAAGATAAAACGAAAAAAAATATTGACCTTTTTTGTCCGGCCAAAAATGTATGCGAGTCCCTTGACGGTCTCTCGTTTCAGCCGGAAGCTCATTAGAAACTAACTCTGTCACGGGCTTTCCACGAGAATACTTCTGCTTGTACTCCTTACCATTGCGCCACACAGTAACTTCAAGGGCCTGTCCACAAGCAAAGACAAGGATGAAAATACAATTGTCATAACAAAAAGTAAGTAAGATTATATGTTCATAATGTGCTTCCGAATAACAAGTCAAAAGACTTGGTATATGATTAAATCAAGATGATTAAATCAAGAAACACATATATATGTTTTTTATATATATTACAGAACGAACATATTATAAAAAAATTAATCTAATGAACAAGAAGAGAAAATAAATGGAGAAGAATACAGAATTAGAAGTTGTAATGTTAAATGAATAAGAAGAGATACCTCAGACAGTGCATTAACAACTGATAAACCGACACCATGTAAACCACCTGACACACTGTAACCACTACTCGAACCACCAAACTTCCCACCTGCATGCAAAACCTGCAATATGATAAAAATAAAATAATGTCTTTTGCCAATAGCTAGACATAAAACATAGTCCATCTAATAACAAGAACTTCCACGACATCACTCATCTAAAGTAATAGTCTATTTACAGTAGAGGCCTAGAACAACATATTTTCAGGTATAAAATCAAATACAAATGCCTTATTAAGTATTAACTATGACGACATCAATCAAAACAAAAGGATTCCCTACACAATTTAAAGTGCTTGAAATTAGAATTAGCAAAAGGAACCCTTACTGTTAAGACAGTCTCCAAAGCAGACTTTTTTGTGGTTGGATGTAAATCAGTTGGGATCTGTACACAAACAAGAAATGTCAGAATATGAAAATAATTCTAACACATGATTACATGCTAACAAGGCGTAAGTAGCATTCTCAATAAGTACACAAAACAGATATTTTGCCTCATTCAATCTACACCCAGTGAGAAGGCACATACCCCACGCCCATTGTCTGTGATGCTCACTGAATTATCCGCCAGTAGAATAACATCAATCTTCGAAGCAAATCCTGCTTGAGCTTCATCAATGGCATTATCCAATATTTCATAAACCTGACAGACAACAGATTAAGCAACATGAGTCGGTACTTTTCCTTAACAATAAGCCAGTAACTAATAACCAATCGAAAGGAAAACAAATGGCACACCAAATGATGAAGGCCACGGGACCCAGTGCTTCCGATGTACATGCCAGGTCGTTTTCTTACAGGGTCTAATCCTTCCAATACCTTTAGAAAAAAGAAAGGACAAATAAAAGCATATTGTGTTAAGATCTGCTAACCAGGAAAGAGATGTTGAAACCATGACTGCGTGGCAAGACAATACATATATTAACATGTTCATCAAAGGCCAGGAATTTCACCTGAATCTGCTCCGACCCATATTCTTTCGAGACTTTACTCTCATGAACAGCCTCAGTGCTGACGGTTGAAGACATAAATGCTCTGGGAGTCACAGCATTCCATCGTAAATGCTTGCTTGAAACCTTCTTCAAGCTCCACCCATCAGTCGCTCTGAAACAAACAAGACTAAGCATATCTTACAACCATCAAATAACAGCTATAAGGAAATTGCCGGTCCAAACAAGAATTCCACCTCATGGTGCTCCTCAAAATTCGAAATACTACTTGAACATTACACAAATCACCCAGTCAGAACCCCCTAAACATTTTTCCAACAAAACCCAACCAAAAAAAAATGAGACCTTGAAAAATTAAACAAGCCCATTACAGAAATTACTGCATACAAATCAATCCACATGCACAGCTGAACAATAAAAACAAAAAGAATATAAAATGGGCACCTGCTGTTAATAAGAGAGGAGGAGGGTCGAGCGACGGCAAAAGGAGAGGAGGGCGTGAGATGACAGTGGCCATGGGAATGAAATGAGTGAACGGAAGCCAAGAAACGAGAGGCCATGCGCTTGAGAGAGCTATTTGCTCTGAGAAGAGGGGCCGCCATTTATATATATCTTTCACTTTCTTTTTCTTTTTCTGGCTTTGGTTTTCGCTTTCAAACTGTTGTCCTCTTCTGGTAGAGCAAAATGGTTTTCGGTAGAAGGCTGAAGGGGTTTAAGGGGTCCGGTGAAGAACTGAAGATAGTGTAGGGCTTTGGAGTTGGGAGGGGAAAAGTTTGTGAGACTTTCAAAACGCTAATTGCGAAATTGTGAAAATATTAAAAAGGCCCCAAATTTTTAATAAGGATTTTTGTTTTCGAGGTAACTTGTATTAAGGCTATGTTTGGAAACTAAATAAGCTAGTTTATAGCTTATTTGGTTAGCTTATAAGTTTTCTGTATTAAAATAAATCTTGTTTGGTAGGACGAGCTTATTTAAAACGCTCGAGCTTATTTGAAAAGTTTCTTTAGGTAGCTTTTCAAATAAGCTAGTTAATTTTTTATTCTAGCTAGCTTATCAGCTAATTTTACCAAACACTTTTATCATATAAGCTAATTTTTCAGCTATAAGTCATAAGCTATAAGCTATAAGCTAAAAAATTACTGATAAGCTATAAGCTAGCTTATCATCTATCAACTAGCTTATCAGCTAGTTTTACCAAACATAGCCTAATTAAAACTTAAAAAGCAATACTTGTAGGATGTGTGAGTTGATAACTGGTCTAATCCAAGCGAACTAGTCGGAGTTTGGGCATTTTGAGCTCGTATTCGTTTACATTTGAACATTGTTCGTGTTTGTTTCGTTTATTTTTTGAGCAAAAAATCATGTTCGAACTCGTTCGTTTAGTTCGTCAAAGTTCATATTTGTGCGTGTTCAAATATTTTAGAACACAAATTTTTGAAATATGTTTGATTAACATAAAATTTGTTCGTTTGAACTCATTCGAATTCAGAAATATATAAATAAATAATAAAATTTTTATATATTATTTTTCTTATTAAAAATATCATGTAAATATACAAAATAAAATAAAATAAAATAATAAGAAATTAATGTTCGCAAATATTATCGAACGTTCGTGAATGAGCTTATGATCGTTCAATTATTAAACGAGCCTAATTTTTTTTTAGAACTCAGCTAGAATTACAAACGAACAAGCTCTTATCGAATACGAACGAATTCGAACGAGCTTATGTTCACGAATGTTTGATTCATTAACAGGCCTAATTGGTAGCCATTACCCGGCGCCTAGTTCGAGCTCTAGGAGGCTTTGTGAATCAATATATTTATATTTATTCTCATACATAATTTATATGTTACATTATATAAACTTATACTAATTAAGACGATAAAAGAAGTTACTTTATATATATATTTTTTTTAACGGAACGATAGGAAGAACTTATATTCACAATAACACCGAGACAAAAAGAATAGTTATTCACCCGAATATACAGCCAACGACCGAATAAGCTGAACAACTGACTCTTGTAGAGAGGTCTACACGTACAAACAGACGACAGCCTAGAATCAACCTACAATACACAACACAACGAAGAAAATAAAAGCTCTCAAAAGTAGAATAAACCAAAAGCTCCCAATGGAAGAATACACCAAACACACTCCCAACGAGAGAGAAGAAGAAAATCAAAAACAAAACGAAACACAACATACAAACTAAAACCAACTAAACAAAACCTAAACACGAAACGGACACTACTAAACACGTCAAAACAGTTCTCCCTACAGCAGACAAACTACTCCAAGCTACACCACGGCAAGGCGAACGGATCTCCATCCATAAGGACCGAGTCACAGCCCCAGAGTCCGATCTAGAAACTGCAATAGAACGCCTAACTATCCGACACCAATGGCCCCAACCCAATCCGGACAGCCACCCCAGCCCTAGCCCAGAAACCCGCACCTCAACCACCCACAACCGACACCATTGAAGAGGCCCAAATCACTGAAACCCAGATTTCGGTGTGGCCCGGATTGCCAACCCCTCCGTCCAACACCAGGAAGAAGAAGACCACTGTGGAAAGAAGTCAGACCCTCCACCCCGAATCCCCCCAAAAAGGGGAAAAAACGAGACCGTCATCCAACACCGATGAATCACCGGAGCACACCACAACGTAGAACACCGGAAAAGCGGCTCGAAGTAGACGGCGAAAACCTACTCTGGGGTCCGGCTCCGCCTCCCATAGTGAGTAAAAGCTCTTCCCATAGAGAGAAAAACTATGGTATCTTTTTTAGGTTCATGGAACATCTAAAGAAGTTACTTTATATAAATACAAAGATTATTTAAAAATAGTGTTTTAGGCATCTTGCCGCATAGAACATTGATTAAAAGTAATTGTACTTGACGTTTTTCTTTTTTCTTTTTGTTTCTCTCATGAAATTTGACAGACAACTCTAAACACGTTGATTTATACAGAGTTTTTTAAAAGAAGCTATAAAGTTAAGGGAGAGACGATAAAGACCATCAGAATTAAGTTTGGTCTCGTTGATGGTTTCGTAATTAAGTTTGTGTCGTTGTAGTGAGCCATCAGAATTAAATTTATGTTTGAACAGACACATGCTACGCATAATGTTCACATTCGGGGGACGTGGAACAAGTTCACATTCTGGATCATCAATGTGATCCATGACGTTATGGGCGCGAGCAGCAATCTGGAATAATTCCGCCCAAGTGTGATATTGAACCCTTTGGAGATCAAGAGTTAATGGGACCAAATTTTTGATGTTGTGCACCGTTTAGGGTTATTGTATTCACAATATATAGCTATTACAATAACCCTACTTATGAAGAAATAAGGAAATTACTTGTACACCAAGTATTCACATATTAATCTACATATTATCAAAAAGAATATCCTCTCAACGTATCATAAATAAAGAAACATCCAATAATGGGAGAAACCAAAGATACAGAAAATTTATTAATGCATAATGTTTTGGTTTCATACACTCGAACTGTCGATACATTGATTCAACCGATTATCCAAAAACGAGCATTAGTCTACAGATACATGTACAACTATCTATAATTGATTTCAAGGTCTAGCTAATTTTTTTTCCCCAAACCCCCATAGAGTATTATTTTTTATTCTTAATAATAAAATAAGAAATAATCACGAAACCTCAATCGCGTCATCCTTGTCCTTGAGGCTTTGATCTTTCAAATCGCAAGCTTTACGCAGTGATATGACCTCTTTCTGCAGCATGTCATACAGCATGCCTGAAACACAGTCTTCATCATCACTTTTCAGCTTATTATCAGTCAAAACACACCCATTCCCATTGTCTTCCCTCTCTGGAACCACCTTTTCGCCATTATTTAGCCTGCTATCACTGTAAAATGAGCTCGACAAATTCTTCACGTGATTTGGACTACTTATTGATCTGGGTGATGATCCTGATATTCTCGCTTTTCTCGACAAAAAAACATTTGAAGGTGGTGTGGAAAAGTTCTCTAATCCTCCTTGTGAGTGTCTACGTGAAATCCCATTGCTCATACTGCTTCCTAGTGACGGAGCACGGTTTGTGCCGTTGGGACACGCTTTAAGCCTTTCCTCCAACACTTTAAAGCGTAATTGGAATTTTTCCTAACAGTAACATAAAAAGGATTAACATCAGTCTTTATAGTGAAAACAACAGGCAAGAGAAGAGTTTGTCAATCATCAAGCATTGCCAGTTTGTCACCTTCATTTGTGCTTCTGCCTTAGCTGCACGGTCTGCAATTGCCAGCTTATCTCTTAGTTGTTGCATTTCTCCCTGTCCCGACCCAAAATTGAAGACTGAATTATATCAAGCGTGATGCATGAATATGATATATCATGGTTACGATATTCCATCACTCATTACTAAATAAATTTCTCCATCTTTTATTTCTTGAACATTTGAAATTAACTTTGTCAAATATTTAAACCGCATTTCGTAAAACTAGGAAAAAAAAAGTAGTCTTAGGGTATTTTATTTTTTACTGAAATTACAAATCAGCTGTGTAATAGTAACAGGAACAAAATACTTTTGACAGCAGTTGTGAATCTTTTTGAAGTGCTTTACATTTCCACAATCATTAAACTTTGTATTTTTCCGAAATTATAACAATCAAGGTCATTTAGAGGACCTGATAGAATTTTCTTTCTTCAAGCCACTGCTTTACTGGCATAACTTTGTCACTGGCATCTTTCCAATCATTTGCAACGACGACAGCTACACGATTTGCCGATATCTTAGCACGAGCCAATTCACGATCTAGAATTCTTTTCTCTTCCTGCTCAAGCTTTGACAATTAGAAACACCTCACGAAGAGCTTCCATTGATATAATAATTGAAGACTGGAAACTTAAAGCACTTTACATTAATCTCTTGCACTTTTCTTTGGTATTCACGAACAGCATTTGCAGCGGCACCTCCAGCCAGAACAGCCTCTACGAGTTCACGAACTGTTTGCGTTAGCTTCTCCACTTCTATGATTCAACAGGAATCACACAAGGGTTAGATTAGAAACCGCCTTAACAGATGAGGCGGGTGGGCTAATTGAGGAGCCGGTTATCCAGTTACAGAAGCGACCCCATAGGCTTTCGCTTTCGCGTCTCTCTAAAATTGCAGTCATGGTAAAATCTTGGTTTATTACCGAAACCTTTTTTCTATGCATTTGTCCAATATTTTATTCTCTTCCTGATATGATACCATAAGTTTTATCAAAAATCTGTACTGGAACCTGATTCACATAGACACAGACAGTTCTAAAAGACCAAACCTGGCAAATCTCAATCTGTTTGCCAAGCTCTTGGTTCTTGTTCTGCAAATCATCAACCATAGGAGTCTGATTTTGGCTATCAAGGACCTCTTGAGGCGCATGTGGGAGGTGGTGATTCGTCACAATTATAGGGAAGCAAACTATGTTCACCAGAGCTAATTTACCTGCAGGATGATCATTTTGTTCACCAGACGACTGTTTCGAAAACTTCTCATTTATTTCAGTTATAATCAAATGAGTCAAAAGCAGCCCAGCAGCAAAAGCACCAATGATGAGCATAGAGAAGACTTCATCCCAACCCTTTGATGATAAAAATCCAGTCAATAAAGGACCTAAAGCAGTAACAGTTGCAAGTGCTCGAGAATCGCCTTTTAACGAACGATGAGTGCCGAGATCAGCCGAGACTGCAGTTGTGATAAGTGCATACGGCCCGTTTACGAATAACCCAGCTATCACCATAAGAACAACATTGCTCGTTTTAGACACACTTCCGTATTTACGGTAAAGAAGCATAGCAGGGATTGCGGAATAAACGAAGGTTGCAGCAGTTGCAGCTCGGGCTCGAAGTTTGTCGGATATATAACCAGCAAGAATTCCACCGATTATTCCTCTCACATCGAATAGAGTCGAGAGATTTCCGGCAGATTTTACTGACATGTACTCTCCTTCAATAGCTGTACAAAAATATGACAATTAATTCAAGAAAGCAGGGAGAAAATTCATACACGGTTGTGCAAAGACCTTTTTTGTGATATTTCACTATTGTAAATATTGTTTATAGATTGGAAGAGGTATTATTATTCAAACAGACTTTAGGGAGAAACTAAAATTGCATTTGCTGTCTGCTAAACAAATGCGTTGGGTTTCTGACAGTCAAAGATGATAGGAAAAGGTAAGACAACACACTTAGTCAACTGCAAAAGAATGTAACTGTTGCCCCCATTGACTTGATTCTATAAGGGAGTTATATATTTTCTCTACTATTTTTCAGTAATGTCATGACATCTTTCTTAATTACCAGTTTATTAATCGACTAATCTTAGTTATGAACAAGGTATTACATAGTAGAGAAAGATAATTCCAAAAGTGCCTTATCAAATTACACAAAAGAGATTCAACAATAATTTCCAGATGGTTATTGCCTAATTAAACTGACACCTTCATACATGTATGGAAGTCCAGATCCTACTTCTTCAAATTTCTTCATTTGTGTCTACAAGAATTCAACAACTTTTTCAAATCAGAAGTTTCATCCTAGTAAAAGGAACCATTCCTGATAACTTCTCTGTATGTACTAACTAAAAACGACTGGGTCATGAAGGCAAACTATGATACAATAAGCAACAAAGTGATGCAAGATCATAACTACCTGTTCGGCTACGGTAGAAAGGCAACCAATACAAGAACGTGTAAGCAACCAGCTTCGCGAAAAAGAGAGAGAGCAAATGGAATAACTCCAGGTATCAAGCAAGCCTTAAATAGTCCCACACTTTTCCTATTCCCCAAGGCCCTCTCCCCATTCCCAACCAAACACTCCCCCGTTTTCTGAGCAGCTTCATCATCTAAAACGGCACTTGAGCTGCCATAACCATTCGGGCTCGAGAATCAAACATCTTCCGGATAAGCAGCTAAGAACATGTACACAATTATCCCGCCAAGGAAAATAAACGAGCCAGGGAGGGTAAGGGGGAGATTGGATATGAATTCAACTAGTAAAAATCTAGTTTTTTTTTAACTATAGTTAAGTTTGAAAGTGGTATAGTTAGTTGTTAGTGGATATATTAAAATAGTATTTAAAATAAAATAATTAAAGTTGATTTGATGTAAAAGTAAAAGAAAATGATTGGAAGTGATAGTTAGTTAAAATTATGTGAGTGGATGAATAGTAAATTAAAGTTGATGTGATGTGTAAAAATGATTGTGTTGATATTATTTTATTATATTAATAATATTGAAAATAATGGAGTTGAGTTAAAGTTGTGTTAAATTTGAGTTTGAATTAGTTTTTTTACTGTACAATGCATAAACAATCACCCCCTAAAAGACCATCCCCACCCGTACTGCAGAACACTTGCAGCAAGCAAAGAGCCCGTAATATTCCCAATCGATGTATGTGCATTCCAAACGCCCATTATCAAGCCCCTTTTCCTTTTTCCGAACCAATTTCCGATAATTATGCAATCCAAAACCTTATTCTTTTGTGAATTCGCAAAACAGAAGATTCTGCAAGTAATGTACTTCTAAATTTCATTTACTTTGTCCTGCTTGATTTTTAGTCCACAGAAAATGATAAACAAAAGGTTTTCTGCATCCAAAACACAACCAGATACTCAACAAACACAGCACATACTAGTGACGGTCAATAAATTATGTACACCACAAGTGATAGCATTCTTTAGAGAACAATAATCCTATAAATTTCAGATGACGACACAATAACTGCAAATCCACATTCTACCAACCAAGATTTATCATTTCCAGCTTTCCAGTATAGTATCAAAGACATCAGATGTTAAAACCACAACATTACTCTAACTCCAGTAGTTGAATACGAAAACAGAACGCAAAATATATACACAAAACAAAAGAAGCTACCACCACAATCAGCCAATGACTGTCACTCGTCATCACCCTTGTCCGGCCACCATCTCGGCCGAGGAAAAGTCAAACCCCTCTTCTTAGCCGTCTCTAAAAACTCAACATCTTTACCACCACAATCCTTATCTCCAACAACAACCCTCAGTACATTCAAAAAGTCCAATAAACCCTTCTTCGACTCCATTGTCTCCCCTGAACTCTGGTCTTCAACACTCTTTCCTTTCCCCTCCAATGTCACAGGTAAATGCCTCTTTCTTCCTAACCCACTAACATCACTAGCTGCTCTCTTCCGACTTCCTTGGACATCACGCGCACCAACATATCTGAACTTGTCAATTTCCTCAATGCTCTTACCCTTAGTTTTCAGATTGCCATCAGTATGGATCTTTTCAGAAAGCTCTGATCCATTTACGGAATGGCCAGTTTCATGAAGTTCCTTACTTCTATTTACCCTGATATCCTCCAATGCTTCAACAATGTCCTCTGACCTACGATTTCCATGATTGCCCTTAACCTTAGGTAAACCTTCTTTCGGCAACTCACCAGTTTTAGGCACTACAACAATTTCTCCAGCTCTAATCATGACCATTGAATCATCATCCAAATCCCCAGCACCACCAGAATCCATACTGTCCACAACTATAACCTCAGGCTCGTCATGTGCACCTCGGTGTGCCTCGGTTTCATCAGAAACTGCCTCCGTTTCGTCTGCAGGAATTGTTTCCCCACCAAGTGCCTCCGCCGGAACCCTAGCTTCATTCGGAACGATCCCGTCATCCAAACCCCTGTCTGAAGATCTATCAATTCTTGCTTTACCATGCCGAACAAGGGGCCTGGCGCCGTCGGAGGGTGACCCGTCGAGGTTTTGATCATCGGCGGAGAAGTAAGAGGGGAGGTGGTGCTCCGGCGGCGTGAGGAAAACGGCGTCGTCCTCCGCTTGCTGCTGGGTCGAGGTCGCACTGGCGGGGGGTGAAACCATGACGATTCCGGCCGGCTGCGATGGAGTCGGCTCGGGCGACGACGAGATTTCGTCCGAGTTCGCGGCGGCGATGTTCTCGGACTCCCGGGCGAAAGGGCAGTTGGAGAATTTCGCCTCCTGCGAGGCAGTCGGTCGGCAGAGTTCAGTTATGGAGGAGAATGGGTCTCGCTTGGCCTCTGCTTCCATTTGGCTTCTCACCATCGTCACTCTGAGGCGGAGGATGAGAGTTTTCGCTGTTCAGTTCATAGCTACGTCGTGGAATTTGGGGGGTTTTCCAAGTTTCCCGTTGATTTGGTTTTGTTCCGTAATTTTCTTATTAACGTTTAACAATCTACTAGTACGACACCCGTGTTGTTTGAAAAAAAATATAAAACAATAAATAATAGAAAAAATACCTATTGTCGTATAAAAGTGCAAAAACAGAGAACAAAAATATTCAGGCTCTATATAATTTGACAAATTAATGAAAACCCAAAGTAATATTTTATATTAAATTAAATTATTTTAGTTTAAAAAAATTATTATTTTTTACATATGCTTCCTAATTCAGCACCCGTGTATTTACATGTGTATTTGGTTTAAATATTTTTTTCAGGCTTGCTGGATTAGTGAAAAGGAAATTGACTGTTGAGATAAATGCAAAACAAAAGATTATATTTGATCATCTTGTATATCTACAGCGGAAAACAAATCTAACTCTATAAGCATAACCAGTCATACCAAATTAAGGATTTTCTAGAAATTTCTTAAACATAACGCAGAGGATAAAATGCATTGTTGACATGGCCAGAACCAACACAAACACATTACAATTCAAGGAGAGGCAATAATAATAATTTATTTATATATATATATATATATGACAATAATTGATGTAATAAAATAACTCGAATTATAATACCTATAGCTCATATGATAATAATCAGAAGGGGCATACGAAGGATAAGGTGCTGAATTGAAACCACCGTGTAACTTTTTTGTCTAAGACACAAATTTCCATTACAACACGATTTTCAGGTGGTTCTTGTCATGTTTGAACCATAACGCTCAATTGTGTTGAAAACAGTTGTCATGGTAAATTCAATTTCTGTAAGATGAATAATTGAGATGAAGGGGCTATGAGAATGAAGGGGGATGGTGATTTAAATAATGTAGAGAACTTTGTCAAACCGATTTCGAATTAAGCAAAATACACGGCATAATAGGATTCTTAACATTTGAAACACTTTATCCTACACGGTTCATATAATAGTAGGATTAAGCAAAATACACGGCATTTCAAATTTATTATACACGACATTATAAGAATAAGAAATATGCAACAACCTTTAAAGTTTGATTTTTTTAATTTTTTTTTATATATTTAAACAGACGGTGATAGTTTAGATCCGTGTATTACATATGTGAATTTTGGATTAGAATAAGTGATTAAAAAAAACTTTTGAAGGAATTAAAATAAACTATGATAAGAATGAGAATCCTATTTGGACGAGATAAGAATAAGAATCCTATTTGGAGTTGGGGTCCTATTTATTTTGGAATATAATTGTATTATTTTTATCCGAATCAAAAGTCGAAACATGTAATGTTGCCAAGTAAGCTTCCGAAGCGTGCGAACCAGCCATTTAGGCTCAGCACGTTTTGAAATTTTATTAAGGAGGGATATGCATTATATTAATTAAATTTTCTACCTTATAATATATAACTACATTAAACATAAATATATTAATTGATAAATAATTTTATTTTCTAATTAATTTTAATAAATAATTCTATTATTATTATAAGGATAAATATAATTTATTTATTTTATATATACAATATGGATGTCAAATCGAAGCTCATCAAAAGATGATTAATTTAATATATTATATATGTAAAACCAATAAGAAATACAAAAGTTATCAACTTTTAAAATATATTTGCAATTCAATGGTAATAATAGTAAATGATATTGAAATACAATTAATACAAATATTAATTTATATCCAAGCCTAACTCCAAAGCATAATTTTTTGTCAAATAGGATTCTGAAGCATGAGAGTTGCGCATTCTGAAATTATATATAGAGGGCATATAAGATAAGAATCCTACTATGCAAGTAGCTATATATTTTTTTGTAAAATTATAGTATTTTTTTTTTTAATTTAAACTATATAAAAAGGTTATTAAAGCTATTTTTTTTTTTAATTTTGGTTTACACGTAAATAGGATCATAAGATGTAAATAAGATAAGAATCGTTCTGAAATTATATATAGAGAGGATATAAGATAAGAATCCTAATATGCAAGTGGCTATATATTTTTTTTATAAAATTATAGTATTTTTTTTAATTTAAACTATATAAAAAGGTTATTAAAGCTATTTTTTTTATTCATAAGATGTAAATAAGATAAGAATCCTATTTATTTTGGAGTTTGAGGATTTACACGGTATATAAGAAATTAAGTATTTTATTTTTTTAAACAATTAGGGAATGTATCTGAACCAAAAGCCGAAGCATATAATGTTGCCAAATAAGCTTCCGAAGCGTGCGAGACAGCCATTTAGGCTCAGCATGTTTTTAAATTATATTAAAGAGGGGATACTTATATTAAAAGGTATACCATTTACCAGATTTAGTTAAAGAAAAATCAACAACATTTATTGCATTACTCTTTCCATATTATACAATCTATATTTATATAAACGGAGATTTTATTTACTATATTTACTATCCAGAAAAGTCAACTGCATTAAATGCCATTACTATTTTAGTATTATAATATTTTATTTATTTAATTGATTTATTTATTTGTTTTATTTTAAAAAGGTAAGTATAATAAAAATATTTTAATAATAAAAAAATCAAATACCAAATAAAAATGTACACTTTGACTTATTTGATTATATTTGGTATTTGATTATACCAAATATATTCCTATTTAGTATATACATTAAATACTTACTAAGTATTTATTTATTTTATTTGTCAAAGTTAAGTATAGATTTGTTTATATTATCAAATCATAAAAAAAATATTAAATCCATATTATAAAAAAAAATCATATAATTTTATAACAATTCTACTACACTATTTAACAATATTTCTTTTTTATTATATAATAAAATAATAATTAAATATTATATGGTGAACAACAATAAGTAAAACTGTTACTTTCTCTTATATCAAGGGATAAATTTATATGGTAAAATTAAATTTTTATTAGTATAAATGTTTTAGTGAGATAATATATTAATTATTTTACAAGCTAGCCCTAACATGCTCATATTTAATATTTTAAAAGATGTAGAAAAAAAACTTATAATAACTCTATTGTTTTTTAGACTTAAACGTTGATTAAAAGAGGTAAAAATTCCTAATTTTTAGACTTAAACGTTGATTGACACCATAGATTGAGAGTATATATTTAGTAAAATTCCTAATTGTAATAAAAAAATTAATTTTTGCTATATTTTAGAATATCTTTAAATTCATTATAAAAAAAAGAGACAAAAAACTACAATGAAAAAAGCAAGTCAGCTATATATTGATTTGTTGTACTCCTCAAATCACATTCACAATTTGGCTACAAGGAAAGGAAACTCATTGATTAAAATATTATTTTGTCAGTAGTCGTACAAGAGACTTTAAGACTCCACTTGAATATTATAAAACTTTTATTGAACATTGTACAATTTTCTTGCGTATTATAAACTTTTATTGAATATTGCATCTTATAATATAATATTCTCCAAATAAATAAATCTCGTGCTTTGCACGGGTCACGTACTATATATATCCCGTACATTTTTCTTTATTCATGTATATAATTATAAGCCTGGATAAATAGCCTTAAAATTGGGCACCCCGTGCATCGCACGGGCTCTGTACTAGTTAATTTGTGATAAGTTATAATGATTAAATATTTTATAAAAATACTGCGGATACAAGTATTAAATAGCTCGTGAATTATTATTAAATGAAATAATTTAAATGATTTATATTTTTATTGTATAATTATTTTATTAGTACAATTTATATATCATTTTATTAACACAATTATTATTGTAATTTTTTAAAAAATATTAATTTATATGGTGTATTAAATTTGTATGGTCCATTTCAAATTCATAGTTTTACTTTAATACTACAATTAAAATTATTATTAATATAATAATCAAGGTATATAAAAAAAATTATATTATTCATTATATTCATGTCACTATTTACTGTTTATTTATTAAAATCAAGCATTTGAGCAAAGAGCAGAGAATCTAATAATTTAATTATAAATGTGATATATATTGTTAAATAAAGTTTTATTCTAATTACTATTTTATATATAAAGTATATATACTTTTTGTGTGTAACCAGTGCATGTGGATGGATTGCTAGTTAGTCTAAGAAAATATTAAGTTATTTATTTTATTTTCTTGCAAAATTGGTCCCACGTAAGTTAAGGTGACTGTTAAGTCAAAGTTATAACAAATAGAGGGAGAAATCATATTCAAAATGGAGGGAAAATCTATCTATATATATTGAAAGAAGTTGTTGGAATAATTTAAAATAATAATTTTGACTTTATAATTAAATATGTTGACTTACTATTAAAGGAAATATAATAAAAATTAGTTTAGTATTTATAAAAAAGTTAAAATTAAATTAAACTTACATGTTGTAAATCGTACATTCCGGTTAGTAACGCGATTTTTTATATAAATAAAGTTGTATCAGTTTTAAAAATTATTTTCTGATAATTATCGGAATAAAAATTTAATCCTTCATATTAATTACGAATTACTATAATTTCTTGTTCTTTTACTAACCAAGCGTACAACATGTCTTTAACGTCACTGCGCTTCATGGTCGCGAAGGTTATTGTAGCTAAAATCATTGGAATTTGTATTTTATACATTGGGAAAAATTCGAGAGATATGGAAAAAGCAGATCCGATTATGTCTATTCCTAATCCTAAATGGAATGGAACGACGTAGGAAAAATATTATTTAAATATGCACGACAAAATTGTAAAAATACTAACAAAATAAAAATTGAGAACCAGTTATGAAAATTTTGTTATGATATTTATTGCAATGTTACAATAAGATCTTATTTATTTGCCTGTGACATTGGAGGGGAAAGGAAAGAGTGTTGAAGGCCAGAGTTCAGGGAAGACAATGGAGTCGAAGAAGAGTTTATTGGACTTTTTGAATGTAG